TACGATAAAAAGCGCCAAAATATAATATTTTATACTACATAATGTTTTAATATTATATAATTTTAACAACATCATTTAATTACAACGTTTGTGTATAGACTGTGAAAATAAATATATATAAATAATATAATGTTTTGTAAAGTGAATGTAGTTGACATGTAGGTGGGGTTAGAACTGAAGAGACTTTATCTTTCCATTTCTTTCACACCATCTCAAACTGAAGAATGGCGCTGAGGAAGGCAACTGCTGAAGACTTGGATATGAATCACTTGGCAAAAGCAGAACTGAGTCGCCTACAGCGACAATACCGCATTATGGAAGGTGACCGGCAGTCATACTCTCAGGAAACAAACATTGTCTTACGGAAACAGAGGTTTGCAAACAGTGAATATATTGTCCGTATCTGACTTGCTGATCTGGTTCTTCCTGGGTTTGTAAAAGAATGGCTGATGGTTTTTACACAGAATGCCTCCTGACATAAGTAATTGTAACATACTATTAAAGGTACCATGTTTTGTTTTTCTTTCTAGCATTTTGATTTTACTTGGAGGCACTGCCACAAGTAATATTAAAACTGGAAGACCGTATTGGCATATTACAGGGGTCTATGCACCAGTGAAGGGGAGAAATGGCAAAAGGGAGCAGTTACATAAAGAACTAAAGGAAAGTGTTTATTAAGTGGGTGAAATTATGTATGTATTAGTTGTAGGGGATTTGAATGAAGTGTAGGAATCGGTGAAATTCCCAGATTTGTACGACAAAATGGTGAGAGAATTTCAAATAGATACAGATGTTACAAATGAGACTTCTACACAATAATCATAAAATAACCATGTCTTATAAACACAAAGATAACCATAAATTCAGATGAGATGAAAGAGGAGGTATATACATAATAGAGTATGTAATAGTTATTGACAAGATATGGCCATTTGTATTAGTTACAAGAAGTTAAATTGGACTGAAGATTTCCTCACATGTTTCACATCCAACTTTCCTGAGACATACTGAAATATAAAAGGGCACACATATTTTGAAACTAGGTTAGATACAAATGTTTTAGATGTTCTGATGCACCTCAAGAGAAGCTGGGGGCAAGTGGCATGACTGGTTCCGTCTCTTTCTCGTCATCTTATTCAGAGCCACACACTGTGACTGTTGCAGGAGAATGATCAAAACCCTGGAGGCCGAGAGGAAAGAGCTGCTAACAAATCTTCATGTGGCCAAGTCTCCGTTGAATGACGTTAAGGACAACAAGGTGACCTCAGAGCTTGCCCGACTTCTGAACCTCACTGACAGATATGATGCTGCTGTCAAATCAGAAAAGCTACAGGTGAGTATCCCATGCAAACAACACAACTTACATGTCATAACACCGCAGACAACTTGTCCCATAGTTGGTGCATGGCTGTGATCTGTCTGTTTCAGTTATCAGAACTGAACTTGCAGATAAAGAAGGTGGAGAAAGAAGTTTTGGAACTGAAGAAACTTGACATTAGTGACAATGTGTTGTTACAAAAGTCACGTAATACTGAGAGAAATGTTAGCAGCTTGGAGAACCGGCTCGGAGTGGTGAGTTCATGACCTCGATTTTAGATCATAAAATGGATATGGACGCACAGAACTCACAAGTGGACAAAATGCACTGAAAAATGTAGGTATCACAGCAGCCAATTAAAGTATATGTCATCATCCTCAGGTGACTGGCAAGTTCAACATGGTGATTGCTGGCAATGGAAAGATGCGTGATGAGATCAATCACTTGCTGAAGGAGAGGTCATATTTCAATAAATCGTTCCAGCAGCTGGTCAGCCGCCTCAATTCTGGCAAGAAGGTGATGGTGGACCTGATTGAGCAGGCCACACTGGCATACGACCAGAGAGAGGAATCACAGAACAAGTTGCAAGCTCTCAAAGAACGAGCGAAGCAAGACCTGCAGCAGCAGAGCCAAGAGATCAGGGAACTGCAGCGCCGCTTGGACCGTGATGTCAAGCTGCAGGAGTTTCTAGGAGTTAAGGGACAGCGACGCATCATGGCTGACCTAGAAGCAAGAGAAGCACTCAGATTCAGTGAGTATGATAGATGTCAGTACCCAACAATTCAAAATTGACTGAATGTAATTTTGACAGAAACAAATCATCGGTGTTGCATATATTATTGATTCATAATCTTATGTTTTAACCATAATTGTACAATTGCACAACATAACAGTTGTACAATGATGGTAAATATACAAGTTTATGAATGGGTGGACTGAGTGTTTTAAGCTGGACTGATGTTTCTGACAACTCATCACAACATTCAACATTTCATGGCTCGTGGATCTTGTCTGCAGAGAAGAAAAGGGAAGCCGCAGAACACATGATCACAACATTTGAGAAGATCTTGTCACAGATCAAGGAATTCTCTGGAGAGACTGACATTGACCGACTAGCTGCGCAGTTTGTGAAGCAGGAGGAAGAGAACTTTGCGATCTTCAATTATGTCAACGAACTTAACAATGAGGTACTGTACATATGGTTCTCATTTTTATGATAATTCTTGTAGTGCAAAAGCAGGTTGTAGCTGTGGCTTTGTGTAGGTGGAGGCACTGCAGGACCAGGTCTGGAACCTGCACCAAAAGATTGAGGATCAGCGTGACCTGAGAAATCGTCGTGTACTTCAACAGCAGGAAACACTGGCCCGCCTTGCCAGCACACTCACTGAGAAGACGAGCAGTGCTGACTGTGTGCAGAGAAAGTTGCAGGAGTGCAGTGCCATTCTGGAGAAACTGCTGCAGGGCATTGAGCACATCTTTCACCTGATGCGCTGTGACCGTGCTCCCGTACTCTTTCTGCTGGGTGAGTGCGAACACATATGTTGCGCACATTGTATTCTCAGCCAGTTTGAACATAGCAGGATACTTTTAGTCGTTACTTAGTCAGTGAGTGGTTAATTGAGGATTATTCTCATTTCAACAAGATCCAGACTGGCTTTGGTGCCCACCCAGCCTCTTCTTCAGAGGGAAGGGAGGTTCTTTCCCTGGGGAGGGAGGTGAAGCAGCTAGGTAGTGTAGGTTACCACTTCCTGTCTTTAGTGTTGAAGTTCAGAATGCTTGGAGCTGTACCTGCGCTCTTGCGTACATCTGCACAGTGCAATGCTTAATTAAGCAACGCGGACAGATTACCTTTAGCTGTCAAATGTACAGTAGTAGCAGCAGCTGCTTTTACACAGAGATGAAAATACTGCGCTGTATTGGAAGTTACGTTTTAATTCACAGCCAACTCTGCAATGAAGTAGACCAGATCCATTTTATTGCTTCATCCTTCCATTCATATATCTGATGATATTTTACACTTTTGGATGTTTAACGTTTCAGAGCATTTTCTCTAATAGTGATGTTCTACTGTCATCACAGGTGACAACAAACATGTAACGGCATACAACGTGATGCTGTACTTGGACATCATCGAGCGCAGAATCATTGATCTGATGAATGTGATGTGCTGTTTGGAGTAAAATGTGCCTAAAATGCAGATGCACATCAGTGAGGACTGCCCTAGCAAACCTCAGCCTCTCCCCATCTGTGAGACTGTGCCACACACCTGTGCCCTCATTGAGTTAGAGGGACAGCATAGCAAAGATTGTTTATTGGATTGATTGCTTCTGTTTCTCACACACTAGAAGTAATACAATTGTAACATTAAAGCCAGGATAGCTGCAGCATTGGCTGTGACTGCAGTTGTCATTTCTAAGCACTTGCAGGAATTTTTCTTTTTCCATCACTGCTTCCAGACTGGTTCTGGGACACAACTATTACATGCTTACCATGGCTTTTTTCCTTGGGATAAAGCAGCCAAAGAATGAAGCTGACATCATTCATGGTGCAACTAGTTTGTAGAGCTGTGGTTTCGACAGTCTTAATAGGTGTCCAATGATTATTCATTGAAAAGGAAACATACATTTAAAAAAAGTATTGTGTATCCTGATGTGAAAAAATTACAAGATACCCAAAGGGTGGTGATATTTAATTACTTCTCCACATGCTAACCATTCCAAGCTCTCACCATGTTTGCCAAGTATATTTGGAGTGATTGATTTGCTTATTTTGAAAGCTGGGAAGACATTAAAAGTATTCTGAATTAAATTGTGGCAGGAATTTTCTCAGGTAAGTTATAAGTTAAACCTAGAACCCATTTATGCAACAAATTTTTATGTTTATTAAAGTACGATAAGCGAAAATAGATATGTGAAATATGTTCTTCAACTTGTGTCAAAAGTTAAGAAGTTTACGTATATTGTATGAAATGGCATGTTCTACATCCTTTAGTTTAGTCCCAAGAAGGATCTATGGAATGTAAATAAACTCCACATCAATTTGTGCTAATTTTTCTGCAAGTATTTCACAAAGTATCTACATTTATGTAAAGTAGTAGTAAAAATTGCCCAATCTTCATGGCAGTTGAAATAGATTGAGTCTTTTTTGTAAACATTTCGCCAATATTAATTGAATTAAAATAAAGTTATGCATTCTTGTTGATTCAAGCATGTGGTAAGTACAACTTAATCACCTGTACGTCACAAATTAATTGGTTAATGTTATACTCTTTGCTGAACGATGATATCTGTCACGTTTAATATGTCTAAGTTGGTGAACCAAGTATGGCGCCGTATTCGTCTCAATCTTCTGTAGTTGGCATTAAGGTTCCGTGTACTCTTTATTTAGTCAATTTCGTAATGATGCGATTGTGTAGGCATCGAAGTTGTTTATGTACTGATGTGTTGTAATTCGTTGAGATATCCTGTAGCAGCTGTAATAATCTTTGTATATTAGCAAACCTCGTCAAATAAATATCCTACGAATTCGGCCAGAAATTTGTGTATTAAGATGAATGATGAAGAGTCAGGTGTTCGCCTCAATCGTCTGAAGCAAAATGAAGGTGTATATAAGTATTTGGAATATTTATATAGTGTTTTAGAGGTTGTAAGTGCACACTGTTGTACCATTACAATTAAGGGTTATCTTCCGTTAGCCAGCGAATTCTTGCTCTCATTATTGTAGTGGACAACATTAGAAAATTTTAAAGAAACTCGGATATCCACGATATAAGCACTTGATGTAGATATAACCTTGATTTGCCAAACACAAAACTCAGTAAATATCAAAAAGGTGTTTACTATACTGGAATTAAGATATTGAATTATCTTCTCCGCCCACTTCAAAAGGTTTGAATCATGATATAAAGAAATTTTAGCCAGCACTGAGAAAGTATCTCCTATCTTACTACTGCTTCATAGAAGAATTTACCTCAGCCAGAAATTCTCATTTATTATAAATGTAAGCAATAGTTGGTATGCATTTTTATTTCTCCCAGTAATACTGTAGTTGACTAAATTAGTGTCATAACTATGTAGTTTATGTATGTATTAGAAATAAGAATTGAATTTGTGTTATCACTTGGGCCAGTGATGTATGGAATGTAAATAAATTCTTTTTTGCTCTATCTGTCCCCTACATTAAACTAACAACATAACCTGGAAAACTGGTAGATAGATTTTTGTGAGATCAAAGGCTACCTCTTATGGGGCACAAACTGTAACTATGTGTTTAACCTTATAGCTGTATATTTTGTGCTGCAGATGGAAATTTATTGGGCAAAAACAGGAACAAAGGTATGTTAAGATGCTAGTGAGTGGGCTGGTCTATAAGGGAATACAGAGAAAACTAAGCATATAAAGCCAGACAAAATAATAACATAAAGGTAGTTAATAAATCCTTTGAAGGTGTGGCAAAGTTTAGAGGTGTGAAACATAGATTAAGGGTGTTTTAGAAAGAGAGCTGAAGAGGATATTTGGACCTAAGACAGAGCAAGTAACGGCAGTTTAGAAAACATTTCTGAATGAAAAATCTAATAATTTGTACTCTTTACTAAATATTAGGGTGATCAAGTTGTGGCGTGTAGCAAGCATGGGAGAGCTGAGAAGTGCATACACGATTGTAGTCAGAGAATCTGAAAGGTAGATGACACTTCAGAGATCATGACTTTTTTTAATTTTGTTCTAGGGCCTGCGTTGCGTGTCTTGCCATCTGTTGTGAATGACTTGCTGAAAGAAGCAGAGCAGATATTCAAAGAGCGTGGAGATTGTGAGCAGTGGCCATTGTTCCTTTCAAATCCTTTCCAGTCTCTAGCAACTCTTTTTTAACTGAATTTTGGTCTGCTGCCTTGACAGTATTTTGTGGTTATTTTTTATTTTACATATTTACCTTTTGTTACTGTTGTGAAGGTCACATCCTGCCACACTGTGTGAATCATTGTATTGAGCAGTTTGTTGTAGTCGTAACAGACGAAACTTATGTTCACAAGGTGCCTCATCAGAGTTTGGCCAAGCTATCGACTGTTCTGATTTTCTTTAGCCTTTCCAGGCAGGTGCAAGAATAATACCTTGAAATAGGCCATGGCTTTCTGCTTTAAAATCCTTATTTGTTCATTACTTATGATAATCTTCTCACCTTGTTTTGTAATACATGAACTATGCAGCTGAAACATAGTAACTAACTAACTAAGAATCAGTATTCATCAGAATGTTTGTGGCATGTGACTGAGAGCTTCTAGACGTGTATTTAGATGAAATTTTTGAGACAGATTGAAAAGCACAAGAAAAAGATGAAGTGGTGTTTCTTGGAGGCGTGCTCTTGATATTTTAGTGATTAATTTGCTTACTTGTTAAGCTGGCAGACTCTGATTTAATCCACTGCTGAGTATTTTTCACTCTAATTCTGACTAAAACGTTTTGGGGAATGGCAATAACTATAACAGGTTTGTCATTTTGGAGTGTACTGTAACAAAATTGAAACTATGAGTTTGTTGTCCTGCTTGCAATCTTCCAGTTACTGATGAGATACTCCTTGCACTTCATTCACTGTTTGGAAAACCTTTTGAGAAAGCCCTAGAACTCCTTGAGTCAAGCTGTGTGGTTTATGTGCGTTGTGGACAGGGGAGGTACGTTGTGCAGGTGAGTGGTGTCGCACGCTTCGCACGAGAAGGCCTGGTGCCTGTGTCTGCGCCCAGCCTCCTAAAAGGACTTACATTTTATGTCTTTCAGGTGACTGGTAGTTCTGGGACTCCCTACACATTGTTCCCACATGTGAACTTCTGTTCATGCCCTGCATATCGTTATCAGGTAATCAGCACCCAGAAGTTTCTCACCTGCAAGCACATCCTAGCAGCTCGCCTAGCTGAGATAATGCAGAAGGGTCGAGATCTGTCATTAAGTGTGGAGGAGCTGACTAGAATCCTGTGTGCTGCTGTCAAGTTTGATAGTGATGGGGCAGATCATGACCCCTGGTCCACTCATCTTGTGTGATTAACTGCCCCCTGATTTTGTGTAGGGGTCTCTGCTAGATGACTTAGAGCAATCAAATGAAAGGTTTTGTGGGACAAGAACATCTGCTTGGTACCACATGACAGGCGTGTTTGGTTTTTGTAACTTGCCATATTTTGTTAATGTAGGTTTGTTGTGTCTGAACACTGAAGATCACAGTAGTAATGCTGTGCCAAGGAATTATTAAAACATTAAACTTGCACAAAAACTTTGGAACTTTACAGTGAGGATATTAAACTGTTCTGTTTTGCAATACCAATGTGTGTCACATTTACATAAAATTGTCTTTGATTATAATAGAAGAATTTGTGCATTTTCGTCTGGTTCCTTCTAAGAATATGTAATATGGCACTGCATAAAGGTTGATGAAGGTGGTGGGGATATACTGCTGGATCATGCTCTGGAGATTGGATAAATTTGAAGATCTGATGCCATAACCTTTGGATCAATATGTTTAATATGGGTTTGCAGTTTTTCATAAGTGTGACATTTATGTGATAACGTTTTAAAATTATGCGCGTATGCCAGTTATATTCCGCAATCCTCAGCCTTTGCAGATCGTAGGGAAAAGCAGCAAGAGAATGAAGTTGGCAGCGCTTAAGCCTCCATGTGGAAACTGACTACCAACCGAAGTATTCAGATTCAACACAGATTGTCCTACTACAATGAGTTAATCGAAATTGTATGGTGAATCTTATTTATAACATATTATTATTATGTACCTTATCTGTTTTACGAAGAGTACCATGTTATCAACTTCCAGCGATGATTCCTACTTGCGGGGAAAGTAAGCTTCGGGGTAAATGAAATGGACAAGGGTTGGGACTTTTCATATTCAACTATTGGCTCGGTCGTTGGCATGACGTTTTGGAAATGAAATAGTCTTAAAAGTGACAATATGGTTTCGTGTAAGTTATTTTAACAAGCTTCATGTTTTGACTGAATAAACATTAGACAAAGCTAAGCATGTGTTTGAAAATGAGCGCTACAGTAGTTATGAACAACAATTTAAAATAATTTCATTTTATTATAATAGTAAAATTCTGTCATTGTACCACCTGATTTATGCCAATAGGCACGGATTATTCACGGCCCTAATTTAGTTGTTGAATGAAAGTGGTGGAACGAAGTAGCTCAATCCAGTATATTTGTGACGTTATTTCGTATTACATGGTAAAATGCAAGTTTTAACGTGTGTCTGTTCACCAAAAATATTAAAAGCTAGGAAAAGTTTATTCGTAACTGTTTTTATCACCGGCAGTAATGCCGCTCCTTTCCAGAAGTCTAAGTCTTATAGGGGTGAAGTTGTCGCATTCTTAACCTTGGCACTTGCTGGAAGTGAGCAGTGAATTCCTCACATTGGAAAGAGAGGTCCCAGTACCTATTGAATAGGAAGTTGCTTGAGCTCTAGGTCTGTTCTGCATGTGGTTTCTTGACAGAAAAATCTCTGTATCTGCCAAGAATCGAACCGTAATCGCCCACCTTATGGGTAGTGAATGTACTGATATACCCCAACACAATTATGAGTGTAATTGATGGAAATTACCAAGTTGCAGCACATCAAATATATTCCAATAACAAGTCTGATTGGCTAATCAGTTTGCTGATGTCATTGCACCATCCTACCATGAAGTGTGGATGCAGTTTTTTCGGATATCACCTCAAAATGACTTTTCGAAACCAGGACAAATTATGTGTATAAGTTTAAACTGACTGTAACCTTAAAATCTTATTGTTTTTAAACTAATAATGTGATCTTTAAATTTAGTGTTGGTATTGTCATTGTCATAAGCAAATAGGTGGATTCCATAGATACTAAATAATTAAGGTGTGGAGTAAGTCATAGTAGAATTCATAATTTTCAGAAAATATTAGTAAATATACTACTCTTACAAAAACACATCCCAGGAATAAAATGTACTGCAAAAGATGTAATCTCACACATAACTAAAATGTTAACAATTCGTGAGCAGTCATATAGTGTTAATCACCAATGACAAGTTTACTGGGAAGGTGTTGAAATTATGATATTTGGAGATATTTTTGCATTAAACTTGAAGTCAGCGATAGGTTAATTTGAATTAGGTAACAAAATTCTGTTAGCAGAACTAAGAGTTTCAACACCACTTATGCCAAAGCGTACCACTGGGCATGAACTTCAGTCAGTTCTATGTACCACCCATAGTCACAACCAACTTTTCCAGGACCCTTCTTGACTTTATCTCCTGCTTTGTCTTATAAATGGCTGTTTTCCAAGAGGTTTTGCCATCAGAATTTTGCATGTATCCATTATCTCTTCTTCCTGATACATGCTTAGTCCAACATTTGTGATTTTTTGTTGTTGTTTCTCTTGGATCTACTACTACTACTATGGCGTAACAGCCCAAAATCGAGCCCTAGCCTCCTCTCTCTTGGATCTAGCTGGCACAAATAAAACGGAGTTTGATGGTGGATGTAATGTTACAAGGACCCATCTTGCTGTTTCATTGTTAAGTTGCTTTAAGAAGCGTCTTGTTGATAAAACTACTTTCATATACGAGCTCTGTATGTGTTTCCTGATTCCAAGGAATAGTTTTATTTATTTCAGAGAATGTCAGTTGTTGTTTTAATTCTCTTTGTTTCTGACAGCTGCCTTAAACCTAGAGACTCTGCAGAAGTTCCGCATCAGCTTCTATGCTGACCCAAAAAATATTCTAGCTCAAAATGTGTGTACACGTGTGGACCCACTTGATGTATGTCTATCACGAAAACATCTAGAAGAAACACAACATGTTTTTTCTCATAAGGTATGGAGAGGATTTACAATTTTTTGTATATATATTCTTTTAAAAAAAATTTTTTTGGTACATTTGTATTGTTTCTTTCTTCATTACAGGTTGAAACAGAAGCAAAGCCTATAACGAATCAAAAAAGTTCTGGTCGGTGCTGGAACTTTGCTACCCTTAATGTTATTCGCATACCATTTATGAAGCAGCATAACCTAGAAGAATTTGAATTCAGTCAGGCATATTTGTTCTTCTGGGACAAGGTAAAATCTGTATGTGGTCATTAAAACTCCAAAGAGCATTTGCTTGAAACATGGTTGATCTCTTGGTTTTACTTTATTTTTCAGATTGAACGCTGCAACTACTTCCTCACGAACATCGTGAAAACTGCACAGGCAGGTCACCCTCTGGATGGCAGACTGGTTTCCTTCTTGCTTCATGTAAGTGTTTTGTTTTGTTGCTACTTATAAGGTTGCTGCAGATCTATATCAATGTTGTAGTCCAGCGGGACGGAACTTTATGGATTAGCAACTTGGCAAAATTTTTGTTTCATCACAATCATATTATGTAATATTCTTCTTGGACATTAATTACATTGTATTTAAGAAACTGGTAGATAGTCTTCTTTGACATTAGACAGTATTATCGTGTTGTGCGTTCAAAGTGAAACTTACTCATTGCACTGCTTTGAGGCGAATCAGCAGAATTTTAGGAGTTTGTTGGCTGCAGACAAAAGTTTGCATGAACAGTGTGTGCTGCAATCTGAATGTGTTGCAGGACCCAATGTGCGATGGTGGACAGTGGGACATGATAGTCAATCTAATAAACAAACATGGGCTGATGCCAAAGAAATGCTTCCCAGAGTCATTTAGCAGTGAATCTAGTCTGCAGATGAACTCCGTTCTGACAAGTAAGGTAGGCCAGTTTCTCACTAGCAGCAGCCACAGTACTTTCTTACAACTGAAATTCATGTTTGCAGGGACAGATCTCTGCTTACAAGTCAAAATGTGCAGTGACTCGACTGACTCTTCTCCTGAAGAAGGTGTGCACACTTCCTGTGTGTAATGAGGTCAATCTCTTCATTGATAAGATATAAAATTGTCTCCACTGCTTTCTGATTTGTAGCCGTGTATGACTGTGACTCAGCTTAACATCACAATGTAGTTGTTCAATTATCAGCTTCAAGACTGAAATTGATTGTAGTTTCCCTCAGTTCATCCATGTTTATTAATACTTACCAGATCTGTTCAGATCATCATGAGAATCTTTTAAAACAAAGGAAGTGCTGATCTTAAGATAAGGGCAGTCAATTAAGAGAGACGTATAAGGTTGTTAGTGTTGCAGGTTCGTGAGTATGCCAAAGAGCTACGCACCCTTGTCACTGATGGAGCGAGTGATGGGGACATCAGTTCGCACATCCAGCAGCGGATGGCAGATATATACCGTGTTGTTGGAATCTGTCTTGGCATTCCACCAGAGACCTTTGTGTGGGAATATTATGACAAGACCAAACAGTACCATTCTGTGGGGCCATTGACACCTCTTGACTTCTACATCAAGTATGTGAAACCGTACTTCAATGTGAATGATAAGGTGAGTAATTACTGTCTTGCTGCAAGGCAGTTTGATGAACTTCTGCAAGTCATGATCATTGAGAAGTGGGTTATCTGCACACGGGTTCTGTTTCGTCTGTTCACTTGAAGTATCTCCACTTTGTCGAGGCCTATCGCATAATCAGTGTTGTGGTCATGCTTCTGTTGCAGTTGTAGACAGTTCGTGTGGTCACACTGCTATGATTTGTTTGTTAGAGGAGGTTATGGTAACCAAAATTTTGTTGGGTTTTCTAATGCTTCTGCAAGTGAGAAACCAAAGCAGAGTTCTAGTTGTCATGAAGAGAAATGTTGTTACATTGTCTGTAAAGCCATCACTCTGTGCATTTAGAATGGGTACTGCTGTAGTTCAAGATGGTTGCACACTGTCAGAATATGTGCAGATTTGCAGGCTTTTAAGTATAATCCCGTGCATGTCTTTGCGATGGTTTGTTGGAAGTGGGTGGACACTTCACATTTTTTATTGTGACTATAAATGTAAAATGTGGTGAAGCATACAGAAGCTTTCCATCCCAGGCCTAATACAAGAGAGTACAACTTTTAGATGTATAATTATTTGTTTCTTTACATTTAGTAATACAGATAAGGTTCTGATTGTAGTACATATTAATGTGTTCAAAAATAATAATGCATGTACAGGTAAAAATTTGTCTGACATTTTGTATTTAGAATGATGTGAAATAGGGAGATGCTTTATCACCACTGATTTTCACCTTTCCTTTAGAATATACCATAAGGAAAGTCCAATAAATCAAACAGGAATTGAAATTGAATGGGACACATCAGCATGTGGTCTACTGAGATCTTAATTTATTAGCCGAAAATGTAATTACTGTGCAGAGAGACACTGAAGCCATATTGCATACTAGCAAGGAGGTTGGTCTCATGGTAAATGTAGAGAAAACTAAGTATATATTGATGATTTATCACTAGAATGCAGGATAGTCATCATAGAGTGAGATAGATACTTCAGGGTTACGATGTCATGTAACCTTGTACGCCAACATCTCTGAAAAACCTATTGCATCCTTTTTGTACCAGGACAATGGAGGTGATTCATTCTTCTTAAATGTTGGTAACCCCCTATGAGCCCACGTGGTGTCATAACTCAAGCCTCCACAATCTGCGTCTTCAGTTGTGACCTTCAATCACAGCTAGTAATCTTTGAAAATGTGGGAGTTGACCAAATGATTTTATGGATTTTGGGCCGAATCCATATAGCTGATGATACTTGGTTTTTTGTAGGCACATTGTTTAGTATTCCATTTGCTGGTGTTGTCAGGTTTGTCTGGTCTCAGACCCTCGCCCATCCAATCCATATTACAAGGCCTACACTGTGGAGTGTCTTGGTAATGTGGTTGATGGGCGGCCCACAATCTACAACAACCAGCCTGTGGAATTGCTTATGAAACTTGCTGCAGAGTCCATCAAATCACTTCAGCCTGTCTGGTTTGGGTGTGAGGTGCACAAGCGTTTTGCCGGCAAGCAAGGCATCGAGGACCTCAAGGTGTAAGTGCCGTCATGTTTCATTCAGCTCAGGAGCTTTTGTTTTATGTAAACAGGATCCAGGGCATGGTGTAGGCATACAGAAAACATTTTTAATTTTAAATGCAGGGGATAAGTATTATGAATGTGGGATGACAGTGAAATTCTTATTTAATATTCCTGAATTTAAACTTTGTCTGCTTTGAGGGATTGAAATGGACATTGCTGGGGCAGTTACTGAACAGTATTACGAGACATCTGTCCACAGTAACGTCACAATCGTGATTATGTGAATGTATCGTAGCCTGTTTTTTCTGATCTGTAATTTTCAGCTTTGTAAGCCACATCAAAGAAATGTGTAAATCTGATATGAGCATAAATTGCTCATAACATCGCTTTTTGCCATATATTTTGGCTTCTGTGACAATTTAGACCTTTCACCTTGCCCATAGGAAAATGGAAGGTGATGTAGGTCCTTATTTGGTCAGGGCTGTCATTATATCACTTTGTATCAAATCCTTACTCTTTTGATCTGCCAGCTATTTTCTGGCATTGTCATTTGCATCATGTCGAAAATAGCATGAAGACTGTTGGTTCCAGTCCATATTTTATCCATAATCAATATAATCACTGGTATTCATATTGACGTTTACACTGCTGTCACTTCAACATTATTTCTTACTAAACTGACCAGGCAGATTGGTTCCATAAGTCCTTAAAGAAGATACATGGGACAGTGTCATAAGCCTACACTAATAAGTTAATTGTTCAAGTTCATTGACTCCATGTCAGTAATCTGAGTGTCAGATTTCCACCATTGAAGGTTTTGCTGAAGTCCGCCATTCCCAAGAGAAATCCTAGGTGCAGTGCTGGGCCAGTTGTGATCAGAATGGAAACTGCAGTGAAAAATGAAGCTTTTGTGAATTCTTTATGATTTGTAGATTTTGAAAAAGAGACATTTCAGATATTTTTGACTCACCTAAGTATGAAAACCTGATGCTAAAGGACCATAATGCTGGAATACAATATCATTGCCTGTGTTGACTCTTTGTTCGGAAAAAGAATTTCCATGTCTCATTCCACATCCAAGTTAACCTTCTTTCTATTTACCAGTGTGACAAACACACTGAGTGTTGGGCTTATCATTGACTGACTATGAAATCTGTTCTCAGGCATGACTACAACCTTGTATTTGGTGTGGATGTGACACTAGGCCTCACCAAAGCAGAGAGACTGTTGTATGGTGAATCACATTTGACCCATGCTATGATCTTCACTGGTGTCACTCTTGATGTGAGTAACCTGCATTTGTTAAGTAGATCTCACACCCTTACTGGCCATTGCTATGTTGTCACTGTGTCCGTGGCGTAACAGCCGTATGAGAGCCAAAGCCGACTAGCTGGCTGCTGGCCTCACGTTCACATGCCTAAGGAGAGGTGAACGATCATCCAACCAGATATAGGGTGACGTGTGGTCAGCACGACGAACCCCCAGCCATTGCTAGTTTTCATGACCAGATTACGCTACCCATTGTAGCTCCCCAATTTCCTCACGATGCTGGGTTGGCACCGGTCGAAAGCTCATGAGAAAATTTCTTCTCCCCCGAGATTCGAACCAGTGCGCATTCCGTATCGCCGGTCCAAAGCATGATGCCTCAGACTGCGCGGGACTGTCAATGTGGATGGGAATTACAAATATGAATAGTGAGTGGCCATGCGAGATTTCTGGTCTTCGTGGCAGCAAAGATTAAGGCTGTGGTCTGGGTTACAATGCTGGGGAGTCGGGTAGGTGAGTATTAGCTAATTGTATTTAGAAATTATTAGTTGAGGACAAACATGGGAATGACAGCTCATACACCATTTATAATGAAATTTGTTCTTCTGACAAGAGTACAAGAAATTTAATGTAGGTTATGTGGTGTCATAGAAAGACGCAGTTTGCTTTGATAAGAAGAAGAGGGGAATATGGGATTATCAGAGTTGAACTTTATGTTGTGAGTGTTATTATGTCTAACAGAAGGTGGTGAATCACAAAAATGGTTGTTCAGCCATGTATAGTTCATAGAAATAATGCAAGCGAGCATTTGGGGCACTAAAACGCTAAACAGCATAAAGTAATGAATGTCAGTCGTGACACCACTTACGAAGGCAAGGCGGGATTGGGTTCGGACAATGTTCGCCTGTGCCACCCACATCTGCATGCAGTGAAATTTGGTGCAGTTGAACTTTGTGATAACAGTAGGATTTCAGGTTTTCACAGCAGTAAGTCTGGTAAATAGAAGACAGCCATCTTAGTGTTACAGTACTGAATCATTTACTTTCTCATCGTCTTTGGTGTAATTTACTACTCAGTGTTTGCTAGATTATAAACTACCTAACTCATTCCACACAGGGTTGTCGATCCCAAGAAAAACTGAAACTTGTTTACAGGCTGTACCACAGGTGTGCGTATGGCTTTTGTCCTGCACTTCATCAGCTTACCTGTTCTGGCTGTGACTACTGAAGCCTTCAATACTGCCGGCCCATAATCATCGCACATCAAGGAAGAGTGATTTATTAGGCATTTTGAGCACTAGTCTAGCAATGGAAAACTGGAAAATTTTAAAACATTAATGGGTCTATAATTTGTACCTTTAAGAAATTATTTTAATCTGTTTTATCGGTTTTCAGGCTTCCGGGAATCCGACTAAGTTCTGTGTTGAGAATTCATGGGGTGATGAGCGTGGAGAGAAGGGATTCTTGGTGATGAGCAGTGATTGGTTCAAGGAGTTTTTGTTTGAGATTGTGGTGGACAAAACATTTGTACCACAAGACGTATTGGATGTTTTTAAAATGGAGCCCACCGTCCTCCCAGCATGGGACCCAATGGGCACCCTCGCACAGTGATCGATACCTGCTTGGAACTGTATGCCGCAGTGGTGCTGTACACACATTACTCCAACATGATACTATGCATATGCAGACAGATCATTATCATTGTTCTGTTGACTCTAATTCATTACAATTCTAGAATCAGGTCAGACTGGGTCACTGGTGATCTATGTCAAGTTTAATGTTTGGCGCAAAATTAAATTACAGTGTGGCCTTGGAAAGTACCTGAGTTTTGCTCAGTATGCACTTCATTCAGCAAATACAAATTCTACACTTGGGATAAATCTTACCCAGTTGATGTAGCAGTTTAGCGAGGTTAGTATGAATAATTTCCTTATTTTAAGCAGTGTTTTAAGATCTGAGTTTGGGTTTGCCTGTTTGCATAATCCTGTGCAAGGTAACAATTTTAAAATTCTTGATTTGTACTGAAATTTAACTTTCAATAGACCCAGGAGCTTTTGAATACTAAGCTAATACACAGAGTCTAGACAAGGTATTTCTCAAACATACACAAAGGTCATATTCTGGTTATTGGGCATACGTTTTATTTTTGTTGGGCCATTCAGGTGGAAACATCACATTGCCACGATTAATTTATACTTTATTTTTAACTTCAGGTTGGGGATATAAATCAACCTGAACATTGTTAAACTGGTATTTACTTGGCATTTTATACTGTTGGTTTCACTTACCTTATTGATTTATACCATTTAATATATTGTTTTAGAGTTCAGTACATCTTGTTTAATAAATCTTATTATGTGAATTAAAATAATGAGTTTTTCTGATGTCACTGGCCATGTAAAGTACTGTATTTATGTGAATGTAGGCCACATTTTAAAACTTGCATCCTGTAAAGCGAGGGTGCAGTTTATAATTGGAATTTTTTATGGTGAGATAATCTGCATTACAGTTGATTAGGAAGTGTTGTATTATGGTTTCTGACATAGATAAACAATTCATATATTTCAATAATAATCATATATAAAATTGAAACTGTGTGTGTGTGTTCACTTATAGCTCAAGAAGTAATGTACCAGTTTACCCCAAACTTGGCATGCTTATGCCTTGATACCAGGAAGAGATTTTAGAAAAATCAAAACTCTTTCAGTCTGTCCTGGCTCCAAATCTTGTAAAATAAGCACAATATAAAAATGGTGCAAGGTCAGAATTATTTGTTTTGGTGAGGAGATTACGGAGACAAAGATAATAACCCTAAAAACTGCTGCATTTGAGTTATGGTGAAGATGCTTTCTCTCTGCATTGAAAACCTATTAAATGAAGACGCATGGACTGCGGATGATTAAACAGAAACTCTGATAACAGAACTGTTCTTCTCAGGTGATTGTTGTTGTTTCTTGGCTCTACTACCCTGTTGTGGGTTTTCGCTGCTTCCTTTTCGGACGTGTTTGGTCTTGGTAGTGAAGTAGTGAGTGATCAGCCCACTGACTGCACAAATTCTACTCAATCCTGATTTGACTGCCAGAGCCATCTAGCAGTTAATCAGGAGACTTGGGTGAGAAATGGCCGCTGAATTTTGCTTACGAAACATCTCGTATCAAGCCCGCAAGGTTCTTTTACATGGCGTAAATCTACGACATGGGACCGCCGGCTATACTTCCCCTCCGAAGGAAGTCGTGCTACAGATTTTTATCAGCCTTTAAACTTTGGGTCCAGTGGCGAGCGCGCTGAGCACTAGTCGACTGAGGGCAACTCTTAGGTGATTACCTCCCAAAATTATGAAACACGATAAGACATCAGCTTAAACATTTAAGGATGAACATAATATCAGCCACAGTTTTAACACAAAATGCAAAAGAGAATGTTTGTTTATTCCTAGAATACAACTAATACCATATAAATGCTTACTCAGGTTTGAATGATTACACTTTCCCAGTAAACTGTTTCACTCAGAGTCAGTAAGGCTGATGATTAGTCTTGAAAAGAAGTGGGCATTGATTTAAGAAAGGAATGATGTTGACATGTCTGGTTTGCTGAAGAGTTTGATCTGCAAAAGGCTTACATACACCACAGGCAAAACAAATGTTTATAAAGAAGTTCTATGTTGAATTTTCATCATAAGACCATACAACATGGCTCTTGTACAAGATGAAGAGATATTACACTACAGTGTCTTCCATTCTTTTAATGTCTATTGTCTTACATTACACATTAGAAGATTGTAAATTTCCCAGACAACTCTGTCATGTGCACCATTGTAAAGATCAGAGGTTAGTATCAGTGGTTAGGATTAAAAGCATGGACCTTTTGAATATGAGGCTGCATAAAACAACAAGCATTTCCATGTATCTCAGTTTATTATGGCTTGTGTTTAACATCAGGCATTTTCAGAATTTGTCACAATGTTGCAACTTTGCTGTCCTGCAGCAAGGGTGTCGTAACATTTGTTGTGCTGGGCAACATACAGAAGGTCCCTCTCATGTTCATTAGCTTATGACTAACACTAGAAAAAAGGTGTGAATTAGATGCCAACCCCCTCTTCAAAAGCTCTATCATTTTGTAATGTGTATTGGAGGAAGCTTAATCTGTGGCTGAAAAACACCTTTGGGCTTTCAGAAATTAATCTTTTGAAGCAAAGTGTTGCTAGGTGATTTATTTCTCATTAGCAGTGTACTGGAATGACTCATACAGCTTGATGCACACTTCCTTCCTCCTCTTTGTTGTGTTATTCTCTTGTGATGCTCGTACTTTAGCTTTGCCCATATTCCGAGACACATGGAGATGAGCCGTGCGTCCACAACCACAGCTGACTGTGCCAGATGATACTGCTGCTCTATGATGTGACGGGCAGGCACCAGACGTCCTCGCTGTACTAAACTGAGTGCAAGATACAGTTTACATCGGGCCACAGTCAGTGGGTCTCCCAGACGCAGTGCAATGCTGAACTGCTGAGCAGAAATACGAGCAGCGATCTCTGCCTGCAATCAACATGATTGAAAACATGAGACAGAGCTACGAGCCTGCGATGTTGCAAGATTCTTGAAATGTAACGTGCCACTGGGTTACATTATTATGGACAGAAATTGTTATTACTGTAGTTATTTATTTAATCATCATTACTCCCTCCTTAGCAGTTCCTGTCCTAAGTCCAGTACCACATTGCATGTTGGCAGTAACTTGTACCAAACTCTTGTGTTCCTTCCATGTCAGATGTCTTAAGAACTAAGAGTCTGATTTGTCTATGCAATTTTGAGGTTTTCATGGTGGTGAGTCTGAAGATGGGAGTCCTTGTGCCATGTAGTCTGGTAGAAGTTTACTGACGTTTCAGAGGTCCTTGCTACCTCCATCATAAGGGTGATGGAAGACGGAAATCTTCAAGGACCGATTTGTTTGTGTGAGCATACTTACACAGTGTTTGAATTCCTCTCCCAGTGCAGAGAAAGCACCGCCCAGGGTTGACAGCCATGACATAACATTATCCAACTCTCTCCTCTCTACAGCCAGTCTCTCTAGTCTGTTGTTCCTGGAAGACAAGTAGACACACAGTGGCACACTTTGCAACTAGAGCTGCAATAAAAAAACAGCAACCCTGTCTAAGAACAGAGTGTGTTCCATTCTTATTGGTCAGAGTGGTCTGTCTGGCATTATTTTATACAGATTAGTGCTCATTTCAGCAGTTTCAGTTAATGAAAAAAAAACTTGCCTTACTTTCTAGAAGAAAGGGGCACTAACTTGTGTGTAATGCCGAGTTTCAAGTAGGTCATAAACATTCTGATTTATTGATTTAGATTGGGGAAAGTTTCAAGACTTTATGGTGTTTTATTACTGATTGGAAGGAAGTGGTGAAATACAGGTACTTGTACAGATCACAAGGGTGTACGTAGTGTCGCCTGCTGCTGGCATCATATGCCAGTCAAGTGCAATGTCCGTGTTTGCCCTCATAACTAATCACATTGCAATGGAGATAGAATATGAAGCATAAAAGAATAATTTTAATAGTAAAAATGTACTAAGGAAATTATTTTTAAACTTAGGAGAGCCATCCATTATATGTATAAAAAATACACAATGAATTAAAATAATTGATAATGAAATAATTCTGCAACAATGATGGTGACAGCATCATTTGGGTGCACTAAGGTGGCTTAAGAATGCTGTAAATCTATTTGTAAATTGGGTTTTGGAGTAGATTCGGCAGTGTCAGACACATTAAAATTGCTGTTTTAAGGGTTTCGGCAAGAGCTAGCAAAATTTTGCGACAGGTTGTTTTTGGGGAAGGAGCAGTTTACTAGTGTACTTTTTATGAAATGCTTGTAAGAGATTGAACAGACAATTTTTGTGTTTGCATCAAGATTCAGGAGTGACAAAATGATATAGGATAGAATATGTATTTATATTTAAAATTCTGAGGTTTATGTATATTAATTTGTAAAATTATTTTTCATACTTGTATTGCAGAATCTGAAATTTATGTACATTGATATGTGAAATACGTTCATGTACTTGTGTTGAAAGTTCTGAAGTGTATGTATACGTATTGTATGAAATGACATGTTCTACATCCTTTGGTTGAGTCCTAAGAAGGATCTATGGAATGTAAATAAACTCTACTCTACTCTACTCTACTCTACTCTTGCAAATAAATAATATGACTAAACATACCATGTGAAGTCAATAATGTGCTTATAAGGACACACCAATTTCATATTGACTTTCATTATGTCACTTAGTTGTGATATTCTTCCTGTCTTTTTGATGTACTTCTTGAAATTGGTCAGAACACTTTTCCTGTACACTGCTGATAGACGCAACGTTTTGACAAATAAGGAAAGAAGGTATCCATTTATGCATAGCTTCTGTACACATTGTGGTGTCCTGCATTCCTGTGCCTTTAAGGTATTAGTATTACCCTTCTCATGTGAGGTTATGTCAAGTTTGTTTACCTTTTCGGGGATATTTTGTCCATTTATGTGTTTCATATTATTAACAATAGAATTCATTAGTGTAGACACTTCATACTGTGACATTATTAATTTATTAGCTTTAATCAATTTCAAATATGCAACATCACTGTTACTATATTGGTTATTGAATGTTAGAAACAATACATCTTCTTGGGAAAAAATAAATTCATCCCAAACTATGTCTTGGACCATCACAATCACATGGATACATTTCATCGTACTGCAATTTTTATGCTTTAGTTGAAAAATCTGGTGTGCTGTAGGTTTACAATTTCTTTTGCACACTTTGCCAAAAATTTTAGGTTAATTTGTGATCCTTCTCGAGAAAGTTGTTTCTTCAACGATATATTTGCTAGCTACAATAACAAACTAAGAAGCTGCATGCACAGAACCTGACAGAATTGTACACATTCACAGCTGATCACATTCAAACTTCAATAAATCTTTCAACATTATTATCACAGAGGAACCATGATATTATTTTGCAATTCCTGACTTCAACAGCCAATGAACAGTTGACTAATGGACACACCTCTGAGGCTTAGCCAACCACATCGTGTGACGTCATCGACAATGATGAAAATTATCGTTCCCAACATTTGTCATTATTTAATAAGAATTGTCCACAAAAACAGCTTATTTAGTAAATGTAGTTATGAACTATGATATATTTTTAAAATATACTAATTGTTAACAATCTAATATTTATAAACATATCATTATGTATATGTGTGGCACAGCGGGATACATCTGTAAGCAGAAGTTTGTCGTCCGAAGGAATGAAAAGTTATTCCCGGCCCCCGCATTGTAATCTCGATCAACCTTTGTACAATAGGCAGTTACGTTCGAAGGAGCAAAGGTGATTATTACAGCACGTTACTGACGAAACAATCAAATATTGTTACCTTCGCGAGGACAATTGTAACACATTTTCTGGCGAGAAAGGAATGGCGTTTTTGAGGGCTTTAACCAGGTCTAATGTATATCGAAAGTTCGGCATTAGTGGCCTTCACCTCAGTGAGCAAGGAATAAATTCAGTTCCAGTGAAATTTTCAATCCCTCTTGCGTCCGTCAGATGTAATATATTGAAATCAACACATGCTGCGAGTGCTATCGGTTATGACACAGCAGTCGAAGGTAAATCGTCCCAACAACATCCTCGCGATCCATTGGATCTCACCTTTGAAGACCACGTCGCAGCATTTAAGAGCAAGACTACCTGGGAGATTATACGTGCATACGTCGTCTATACGTTGTGCTCATCCGAATATTTGGTTGAACATAACATGACGGTGAGAACATTTTAATATTTTCTTTTAATTTTCTTATAGTGATACACAATCTACCGGGAATAATTTTCGTATCAGTAAACTGAAGTAATTGCTGTGTATATTCGACATTTTATAATGAGCATGATTACATGAAACCAACCTGGTTTCATGCGTGCGGCAGTTTAATAGCCTGTGTTTATTGGAAGCCGGCCGGCAAGCTGTTTAAGTTAAACAGGTTAGATTCCTGATATAGTTTTGATTTTTTGGAAACGTGTGTAGTATAAGTGGGGGTGGGGGAGCGTTTTCGAATAATTAATTTCCTTTCTATATATATATATTAATAATTCTAAAAATACACATGGCCTTCGATTCAGAAATATCGCTCTAATGTGACCACTTTTTTGATACTAACCGAGTGGTGACATATTCGCCGATCGACATAGCAAGTCAGATCTACTGAAACAGGATTAAATTGATGCCCGTACTGAATTTCAAAAAACTTTATTTTTATGGATTTATGCTAATTCACCCATATTCCAGTCGTACGAAGCTTCCTCTGTGCATGTTTAGTTTCAGCTGCTTTCATGTTAATGTCAGAGAATCAAGGAAAAACGGCCCCTCGGTCGGTTGTAGCTCCTGTAGGGATATTGAACAGAAGGACGGAGAAATTCATACTCACTGCGTATTTGAAATGAAGGCTTTGACATACGATTCATGTGGCATCAGGAGGGGTGCCCGAGACATTTTATTAACTGCGGTTATTTCTGTTGTGACATACCTGAACTCGTGTAATTACCCACCAAAACAACGCCTGGCTTGTACGGCATTACTCCTTGGACGGGGGATCAGCCCATCGCAAAGCCTGTGCCTCGCGGACTGACGCCAAAAGAACCTGACTTAAGTAGGACTTAATTTGTACGTTTTCGTCTTTATTTGGGTTTTTGTGAAGAGAAGAGGGCAAGGGGAAGCCAAGGTCAGTTGGGATTCCCATGTGGTCACATGGGCGTGTATAGCCGCGAGTTCCCAATGCGATTTTAACCCAAACTGGAAATACCCACATATTTTAGAAAAACCGACCTCTGCGCAGATCATTTCAGCGGCTCAACATGGCGAAATTTAAGCCGTGCCCTGAGTTTTGTAGTAGACGTCACTGTCACGGAGGGATACCATTGTTTAGTTACAATGTGATTTGTGGCTGTGCAGTCAAATTTGAACCTTGACGTGATTTCTAAATCCTGCTCAGACACCAGTAGGACTTCTGACACGGGAGGTCAGCTGATCATAAATAAGGCTTCTACCTTCACACGAAAACTTTGACAGATCCGTATTTAAGGCCGGCTTATAACTCGTCGTAACATTGAGCTAACCTGGGAGGTGGTAAAGTTGTGACGTTCCTCCACGTTTACAAATAATTAAATAAACGACAATTCATACCGCTAATTGTCATGCCTCAGCCCCGCGTTTGTTGGACGAAGTTTGTAACATTTCTCGTATAATAGACAAGTATTCATCACTTTTGCTAACATACGAGGGCGATTTTCTCGGTTCGAGAGATTATTTACGTTCATTTTTGTATTCGGAAGGTACTGGAGGTTTTTCGTGGTTTTCCCCCAGTCTCTCCAGACAATTGCTGGGATGTTAGCTTAAATTAGACTATATCTGCTTCGTTCCACGGTCTTTCGAGTTCTTAATTGTCACTCGACTCTGTGTAGTCTGAACTGCTGACAGCATCGACAAATGAACCAAAATAAATCTCTACTACACCAGGTTTCATTCAGGGCCTGGATATTAGGTAATCTTAATAGTAATTTTGTAAGCCTGCCTATAATTGCAGCCAACAGATAAGATATTAAACTTCTTGCAGACTGCCGGTCGCCTGTCTTTGTCATCACGTGTTGACATTTCAGTGATAAGAAGGCTGCGCCGGAGGAAAGTGTTTGGGAATGTGTCAGAAGCAGTTTATGAATTAATCCATAGAGTTTGTTAAGATGTACTTTGCCCTTTGCTTGCGTCCCCAGCATCGAAACGTTTTTTTCTCACAGAGAGACATTGCCCTCGTGAAAAAAACAGCGTTGTAATTCGTTTCGTTTCCTTCCGAGACATACATAAAGTAGTAGCGAGATGAACTTCTACAACAACACTCCCATTTTGCGTTTTGCGCAGTCAGTGAAAGTTTCGACATCCCTTGCAGTTTCATCAGTGTCGTAGCGACTGTGAATTCTTCCATTTGCCTGGGTGTACTGAGGAAAACCGTCGTGAATTCCCGACAGTCGGAGTCAGGACTTCTTGGAAGACCGATTATTGGTTTATTTAACGATGCGTTGTTGTGTGCATTTGTGTGTTTCGTATTTATATTATTTCCTTAAACAGCGTTAGTCACTTTATTTTTGTAATGGTAACGTGTGGTGTTTTCTTTGCGGTACGGACTGTTATATAATATTTAGATGAGCTTCGGGCTTCATTATATGACCGGCAGGAGGGCTGCGTGCACGCGTTGCTCTGTACCCAGACGCGAGGCGACGCCATTCCGTTCCGACGGCACCAGCGCCTGACAGTCGGTTATGGGGTCAACAACTCTTGGCTCTCGCACAACTCAGGGACTTGCGGAGAAGCTTGTCAGCAATTTGTGAGGAAAATAGGCCACGGTAAGATCGTTCCTCTGCTTCGGTGGCAGGCGGTGGGTGAAAATTGCCCCAGTTTTGTGGCAGGCTGCCAGTAGAACGAAGTAACGACACTGCATCGAGGGCGCGCGCGGTGATGTTGTTGGACCGGATGACGATCGATACGGGACTGAAATGTACACTCCACCATAACGCAACCCGGTCTTAAACTCGTACTGTACGCGTACGTATGCTTCACCCCTCAGAAGACACGCCGACGTGTTCATTTGCAGGTGTATGAGTGCCTTGCACCTCTCTCTCTCTGAGGTACATTAACATACGACGTTTCGGAATTTGCCGTAAAGCATAGTCTGCTTGTTACAATCTATTTTAGCAACCTCCTACGATTCAAGCGCTTCGATTGTCATCAGTCTAAAAAATGATTGATTCGTTATTTTTAAATATATGCCCATTAATAACAGCACACAACCTCAATGTGTGAGGAGGATCATCCCCAGAAATGTAATGTGTGATTATAAACCATTTATCGCCCTAATGATGCAGACAGCTTTCTACCAGACAACACGGCGCTACAACGCAGATGGCAGCCATCTTTAAAAACCATTCTGGGGCAGACCTAGGACCTTTCCCGTCATTCATTTCGTGATCAGAAGCGAAAATAATAATTGAGACGATTCTGTATTTTTAGACTTGATGCGTTGAGCTGCCGTTCCGTTTCAAATTAATTCTCTTCCAACCTGACACAGTCATTACTGCAAGCCCCGTGTATGGACACCAGAAAGTGCTGTGCGAGTCGTCAAATCTTTTCACGGGAAGCGGCCATGCGCTGTCCGTCCAGAGCGAGCCTCTCTTCCCCTATACGACACTTGGTCCCTGTGGCACAAATTCCCATGCATAGTTTCAAAATAAGTAAATCCACCTTTGGACTTCCAAAAGAAGGTCTAGAATGTTTGGTTGCAAATTCCAACATTTTCATAGAAATTTTCTTCAAAGTTCAAGACGAAACTCGCAGATGGCGGGACCAACAAACAACGTTTCGTCTTGTCGCCTGATGTCGGAAGCAGAGCCAGCTTCCGAAACGCCGTGTTTTTAACCGTAATGTCCAAATTATGCGACAAAGCTTTGCGGCAAAAAAGTTGTGTTTTTGTGCGCGAGACAAGCTGAGGCGAATGTACGACGTTGCACCGCGGGCCTACTTTCTGTTCATGCAACTTGTTGGTTCCAAGGCGGCAACAGCAGCGAACGTTCCGTGTGAGAGAATCAATAACTGCACGTAGACAGTTACGCCTCCAGACGTGCTTCCGCTGAGACATCGCACTTCGATAAGAGAACTTCGCCGTCAGTGTTATTTGATACTTCATTCGCACTGCGAAAGTCGTCGCTTGAAAGCAAATGCCCCGCGTTCTTTTGTTCGGTCGGGAGTTGCTCTGTCCAACAGCCCCGCCCGATTAAGAAACGTCCTGCCTTGCTACCTGAACAAGAGAGTTTCCGAAACGTCGAATTTAAAAAAGTCTTAAAATGGAAAATCTCCAAAAAAATAATAACCATTTCTATAACACACCAATGTCAAAACATTGAGATTCAGCTTTTTTATCTGTTGAGTCGCAGTGATTTGCCTCAGTACGTCAGCAGAGGGAAGCAACTAGTGGCCCCTTTCAGTAGAATGGCTGCAGCTACAAGCCTCTGTTGAATATTGATGAGTGCTTTGTGATCATCAGCTGAATTATTTACCATAGTCACCGTGACAGTAACTGATGACTCCATCCTCAGCCACACACAGTTGATGGTACCATCCTGTGCCAGAAGCAGAGGCGCACATTATTTTGTTAATTATGAGACTTACATTAAACGTCTCAGAAATCCTGATGCAGTGGCTTCGTCTCTTTCCGGTCTTATCAGGGGTGTCGAATATCTTTATCCCAAAATTTTGATGGTTTTCTTCAGTCCTTCCAGACTAATGCTTGGCGCTTGTTTGGAAATTGGCTTGTTGTGTGCTAAATATTCTTTGAAGGTGGTATGGAACTGTGGTACATCCAGTGAAATGGTGACCATGCAATAACAATGCTGATGCTTCTCCCCACTCGACTCCCATGTTCATCAAAGGAAGTGCAGAAGCATTTCAGATTCCATGTAATTTTGTGGGCAGAACAGACACAGTGGTATCATGACTAGAATGGTGTGACTACTAGCCCTAAGTTTTCACTGTTTTCCTCAGTCTCTCCAAATCAGTTTCTTAAAGAACAAAGATGCAACCGCATAAAAACTGTAAGAAGACTGTGTTACAGTTGATCATCCATTTACACAATATTTTACTTTTAATTGTGACCGCTGACAGTAGACCGTCCATTCATGCACGGTGAAACATTGGCAGTTTGTTGGTTGTTGATTGCAGCTCCTGAGGTTTTCCAAGAAACTGCTTGGTGATCGACTCTTCAAGTTACTGATGAAGTCGACATTTTACGGTCACTTTGTGGCGGGTGAGGATCAGTTCAAAATCAGGCCGACTCTGGAGCGGCTTCGTTCATTTGGAGTGAAGCCGATCCTCGACTACTCGGTGGAAGAAGACATCTCGCAAGAGGAGGCAGAGCGCCGTGAGGTTGAGTGCGTGTCATGTTTTGTTCTCACTTTGATGCATGAAACTTGTAAATTATTATTAATTTATGTTACTTAATCCTCGTAAACTCGAGTGCAAGAAAATCTGGTATCATTTATGGAATATCGACCATCAGTTTCTGAAACAGGCAGTTGTTATCAGATGTATAACCTTGTCAGCAGAAGAAGCTGTAAAGATTTCTCAGCATTACAGGACGTGTACCCAGTGGTCTGCGAGCCACACTGACTACGAATTTATATGGTTTTGCCACTGTTATCTCTCTGAATTTGAACTGTGGCTGTGAAGTTGTTTACTGTACACTGATTTAACCATTGACAAAAGAGCTATAAGGTGCCCTCATTGTATGAATTGCTCTGGAGCCGAAATAGCTCAATCTGCTGGTTCCAAATGACAGTGAGATGTTGACAGCTGATGCAGGTGGGTTGATTTGTCCCGTGCCCTACTTTTTAACCTGCCCAGGAATGTAGACTGACCTTGCTCAGTAGGCTGTAGCTGTGTGTTAATCAGTGAGTCCACATGTGGGGCGTGGCCATGACAAGTTCCACGAATGAGATTTTGGCTGCTACCCCACTAGATGGCAGACACTTTCTGAAAAGTAATTTTGTTGCAGAAAGTTGAACTTCAGTGCTATTAGGTAAAAATTGATGGAGCTGGTGGGTGTAGTTTTGTGAAAGTTGATCTGTAGATTTGAAGACCTGAGTTCTAGGTCTGAGTGTGGCGTCTTTGCTTCACATGCTGAACCCAGTACTCCCATCCCTGATTCACTTTGCATGTGACATGTTGAGAGGTTTTCACTTTTGCTGTAAAGGGCAGTGAAGTAGCTGCTTATTAGGCTGGTCACGGTTTTTCTCATGCACCTCGCATGTGACACGAAGCAGACGGGCTGTTTCCAGTCTGTTCCTCAAATAGCTTGTTGATAATAATAGCAAAGTGAGTTCCTTAGTGGGAGAGGTGTGCAGTTGTGTTCGCTTGGTTTAATTTTCTTTCAGACTGTTGTGTTAGCAACGACCAAACTGCCTCTCACTGATGATTTCTTGGTGTTGGGAAGAACTATTTCAAGACGACCTCAGTTCCATCTATGGACTGTAACTTGACAGTGAAACTGAGGAGCTTAAATAACAGGGAACTTCATGATTTGCACTTTTTAGTTTTTGTTTTTGAGTGGGACATGTGGCAAGCATGAGAAAACTAAGAGATGTGTGTAACATTTTGAAAAATCCCATAGAAAGGGAAATCTGGGGTTGGCCAGTATGAAAATGATAATAAATTGTAAGAATGTGAAGGATCAGTAGCAGGCTTTTATAGAGACAGTGATGAACTTTGGATCTCACAGCAAAAGGGAAGTTTCAAGTAGCTGTATATATGTTGTCTCTGTACTACAGAAAGGAAATTGTTTAATGTGTTTTTGTGTCATGCAGTTGCACCTGTTGGCCAGCACTGGCATGTGCATGTGGTCTTGCCAGATGTATGAGTCAGTGTGGCTACACTTAACATGCAAGTCGATCCCCTGTTATTATAGGCTACATTCCAAAGGGCATATTCTATTGCGTTTGTTTGAAGCCCATCTATACGAAGGAGCATAAGGCCATCAGCACTGTTAAATTTGCAAGCACAATGACTGTCACTTCACAGTCACATAACTGACTTGTGCGTGATCAGTGCACTAGATTGTCCTAACTCCCCAAGACTTTGATAATGACTTCAGTTCACCTTCCTAGCTCAATCAGTGTCAAGTAGCCTGTGAAATTGGTAAATTGCTATTACATTTTTAAATAGTAACTAACCCCATGGAGCAGAGTCCTTTTTGACAAACTAATAGTAATTTAGCTGATCAAGAAATTACTTGTCTTTTAATGAAACCTAAAGATTCATTACTGTGTTTGATAGAGCCTGCTGCTGGCCCCTGTCTTGAGCCATATGAATCCAATCTACCCTACCACCACGTTTACATAACATCGTCATGCCATCTGTCTCCCAGGTTTTCTGCCCAACATTTTTTACATGTTTCTTGATGCTTCCATCCATCTTGTAAATGCCCTGCCCAATTCATCCTCATTGGTTCCAGGTCCCTAATAATATTTAGTGGACAGTACAGATTATGTAGCTCCTTATTTTGCAGTGTCCTCCATTTTCCTGTTACGTCTGCCTTCTTGGATCCTGATATTCTCCTCAGTGCTTTATCGTCAAATGCCTTCGATCTGTTTTCTTCCCACAGTGTGAGAGATCAGGTACAGTACCCATGTAACATGATCCTTGTTCAGTATATCTGCAGCTTTACTACGCATCTAGAGGTTGTCTCTGCCTTCCGCAACCTGAGGGCACTCCGTACTGTCGTGACAGATCAGATGCTTAACATGGACAGACTGACTAGTTTACCTTTTCATGGTATTTTAATTGGCTTTAGAAAATTTGGTGAACTTCATGTTTCAGTAAGTATTAGTGCAAATAAAAGTAACTAACATTGTAAACTCAGTTATTTTGACATTAATTATCACACTTTGAACTGATCACGGTAAAGAATCGAGTGACACTTCGCGCATTGCTCGGTTCACTTCAGTTCTATGTGACCCTCATTGTTCAGAACCTCGCTGAGCCTTTATTTGGAGTCGGCTGTTACTTTCAAACTAGTTTATAGACAAACATAAATTATTTTCTGCCAAGCCTCGTGCCTCGACAGCCGTGCTTAAATGGCCGTAGCAACAACACTGCGCGAAGAAAGTCAAGTCAGAGCTGTGGGCTCTGACTTTGTTAGCAGGACATGACAGAGGCAGCGAGGCATGCAGTTGATTTGTTCTCACTATTATCTTTTGGTTGCAGGGGAAGTGTTTCGGAGGCAGGCGATGAGAAGTCACAAGGTGAGCTCTTCTCTGCTACTATATTGCTGTGTTTTTGTGGCTGCAGTGCACAAATGAATCCAAGAAATGGCCCACAAGCCATGTCACAAATGGGCTTTTGGCCTGGGCCCCTGTTGCATCATTCCTCCAATCACCTGATAGTAAGTTTACTGAAATGCGTAGTAGCATGAAGGATCGTCAGTAACACGTGAGTATGTTTGATGCCGTATTGTCATGGTGATTTGTTTGGAAATGGGAAGAAACACCATGGTAGGATATTTTTGGACTCTTGATAGAAAAAGACTGTGTTAATACACTCCTTTGTTGAAATCAGGCTGCCAAGCAGTCTATCTCCATGGCTCATGAACTTGTAATATTTGCTGAACAGCTTTGTTAAAACATTGCCCTCTTGTATGTCATTGTATTTATTTACTAGTGTAACCCCTTATGAATGAAATAGATGCTGCAAAACAACAAAACAAATGGCCACAAGAAGCCACGCGTCCCAAATGTACAGCGCAGCTTGGCACTGGCAGAATAAGGAACGTCTACCCGCGTGCCAATGCCAATTTGCTGACCATAAATCTCGGGGATTGAACATGTGCACTGAAATACCTAATGACTGATAATCTGGGTTGTGGTTTAGCTGTTCTGTGATACTTGTCTTGTGGCCGTGTAGTGAATTAATTCCTTTAGGGGATAAGTATGGTGTCACATTGGTAGCATTGCGCTGTTTTCTCTTCAGGGACAATCCGACAGTACCACATAGACAAGCAATTTGCAGATCGGCGGTACAAAGTTCAGAGTGCACGCACTTACTTCTACTTGAATGAGGCACAGTGTGAACGCAACCTGGAGATCTTCCACCAGTGTCTGGAGGCAGTATCAGGTAAGAGCAATTAGCATCATCTCTCATGTCCTCACACAGTGCTAGTGTACGATGACAGACACTCTGGTCTACCCACCGCCTCACATTTCTGTATCTGCAGGTTTTGGCTTTTAATTTAGAATTGCAAGCAATTATGAGAGTGGGTGATCCAAAGTGGTAGATGTTATGTTTTGAGTCTCAGCATAAATGGTAAGCAAAGTTAGACCAGTTTGTCTATTGCTCTGAGCTTACATGCTGCCAGGCTGAATTCTCACTCCTAAATAACTTGCATCATCCAGCCATGTTGCTGCTGGCAGGGGTGTACACATAGCCAGTGGAATATTATTACTGGGCCAGCCACAGGCCTCATGTTCTTCCATTTACATCATAATTTTCCAAGTATTTTTAGGGGACTTCTGCATGAAAATTTTGTTTGCATTTTTTCCAGTCCAGCTTAACTACCTAGGAAGGTACTCAGACTGAGTTATTGAATATGCAGTTTTTTCCATTCCCCAGTCACTTCATCACTCTTATGCTTTGAATTTCTATTGTTTTCCTTTGTGTAAGATACCATATTTCTCAGGCATGCAGAACAGTGGGAAAAATGGTCCACATTTAAGATCTGAATTGCCATAATTCTGTTTAAATAAATCTGCTCAGATCTATCATCAAAACTGTTGATTAAATGTAGAAAGTTGTAAAGTGGTCTGAATTGTGAGGTGGAAGCCTGAAACACGTGAGCAAGTTGCACTAGTGGGGGTAGCCAAATTGTTGTAGAGAGACCACTTC